TTTCATTTGCTAATCTCTCTCTAAACTCATTCCCTAATAATACTATACCTTTTTATTTCTGCAGAAAATATTTTAATTGTTAACAAAGTATCTCACACTTGGTATAATAGGTGTGTGTGCTTAAGTGAATGCTACGAAATTCTCTACCACTGAACTATTCCTCAGCCCTGCTAGGATATATTTTTAAGTGAAAACGCTGGTGGTGAAGTGTATTTGTTGTGCTATCATTTATTCAACAAAGGGGAGAAACAAAAACATAGATGTGTACTTATTTGTATATATACATTTACACATATGTGTGTAATGTTTGTATATGTGCACATACATAAATATAAATGTATATACACATATAATCATTTTTAAAATGAAACAACATTTTTAAATGGCTACCTGTAGAGAGAAAATGAATAAGGTAGAGAGGCAAGAATAAAAATTAGACTCATTTATTTATTTATTTTTTTGTTTATTTTGGTTTTTTTGAGACAGGGTCTCACTACATAGTTGAGACTGACCTGGAACTCACTATGTAGCCCAGGCTGGTCTCGAATTCACAGCGATTCTCCTCCTGCCTCAGCCTCCCAAGTGAAAATTAGACTCCTTTGAATACAACTCCTTTTGTATGTTTTTAGAACTATCATTGTATTTTATACATTTATAAAATCAAATTTAAAAGACCAAGCCATAAAAATCTACAATAGCTGGCCCAGTGTCACACACCTATAATCACGGCAACTCAAGAGGCTGAGGCAGGAGGATCACAATTGTAAGGCCAGCCTGGGCAATTCAGCAAGAAGCTGACTCAGAAAATAAAGTTTAAAAGGGGCTGGGTTTGTAGCTCAGTGGTACAGGATTTGCTTAGTGTGCAAAAGGCCCTGCTTCCATTCCCAGTATCTTAAAAGTATCCAAATAAAGACGAACACACATGTATCAGGGTAATAGCTTAACCACACGGAAGGAAATATTCCACATTAGTAATTTTTATTAGTTATTGAGGTGCTAGAGATTGAACCCAGGGCTTTGCACATGCTAGGTACATGCTGTACCACAGAGCTACACCTGCTGGCAGTAATCTGACTGCATCTTCCTAGTAAGACACACCGTAAGGACTAAAACATATGCAAGAAAAATTTCAAGCAGCATCCCGGAACTATGCTGTTGGTTGGTATTGCTATTTGTGTGTGGGTGGCGGGGTTGAGACAGGGTCTCACTATGTAGTTGAGACTGACCTGGAACTCACTATGTAGCCCAGGCTGGTCTCGAACTCACAGAGATCCTCCTGCCTCAGCTTCCCAAGTGCTGGGATTACAGGTGTGCACCACCAAGCCCAGCGGTATTGCTATTTTGAAACATGTGTATATGTGACATGGGATAAAGTAAATGAGTGGGGATGTGATATTCTATTTCCACCACCCCTTTTATCCTTCTAAAATATTGTCTAGCTAGCTATCCATTAAAAAGACCTAAAAATGACTAACCTGGTAGTGACAAGAACCTCTGGCATCAAAAATCTAAGTCACCCTGGAAAAATGACCAGTTACAGCTTAGAATCACCTGGCCATGTAGGATGGCAAGGCAGCCATCTCAGACCATTGGCGGGGGGTCATAACAAAAGGGCCCAGCAGCCATCCAGCAGAGGCTCCCCTAGCCAGACAAGTGACTCTGAGCATCAGTGAGGGCAACACTATGAGATTAAAGCACCACCAACCTGTTAAACCTATGTACTGATAATGATGCTACAAAGAAAAATCTCAAAAATAAAAAAATTGGCCACCACTGCACAATGGTAGTCAAACAATTCATTTTGAAAACTTACAAGAATCAAGCATTTATCTTGCTTTTCCCATAGATACTATACTACAAGGTAACCATATAGATCAGTAACTTTCTCTTTATAAAGTTAGCTCAACTAGAAACAAGTAGTAGGACTAAAATATCATTTTGCAGCTCTTAGGGAGGGTCTAGACATTATCAATAGCTGCTGACATTACAAAAATACTATAGGACTCTATAAGTCACTTGGTGGATGACCATTTGGGAGGTCTTGCCACCCACTCTTCCCCCAAAAGAAACAAAATGTAAAGAATACATTGTGATCAAGCCTTTACAGCCAATTACCAAATTATAGGTACATGCTGGGGAAAATGTTCACAGGGACATAAATCAGCTAAGTCCAGAAAGTGAGGAGTTGCTGGACATGTAACCTGTTCAACGAATTTCATGTGTATTCAAGCCTGTAGACTGAAAACAAAACATGGCTTTGAGAAAGCACTTTTTACCTTCTACAAATGCTATAATGAAAATGTTATAACAAGTGTTGGTCAGGATGTGAAAAAGGGAAATCCTGGGACACTGCTGGGGGAAGCGCACAATGGTACGGCGGCTTTGGAAAACTGTCTGGCAGCTCCTCCAAAGGTTACACATAGAGTTACCATACAGCCCGGAAATTCCATTCCTAGGTATAGGGGTACACTCACAGGAGATGAAAATGCATCCACACAAACGCTAGAACATAAAAGATCACATCAGCATTATTTATAATAGCTCAAAAGTGGAATCAACCTAAAGTCTATCAACTGGATAAATGAAATGAGGTATATTTGTATAGATGATTATGCAGCCATAAAGATGAAATATTGAGACATGCTACAATGTGGATGAACCTTGAAACATTATACAGAGTATATTTTATAATTCCATCTATATAAAAGGCCTGAATAGTCAAACCTACAGAGAAGCAAGTAGCAATGAGCAGTGACAGCTAATAGAGGTGGGAGTTTCTTTTTAAGGTGATGAAGATGTATCAAAATTATTATGGTGATATTTGTACAACTCTGAATATATTAAAGTTGCTGAATTATATGCTTTAAATGGGTAAATTGCATGATATATAAATTATATCTTAAGAAAGTCTTTACCAACAAAGCCCAGACATTAAAAAATATTTGGATTCGGAGTTAAAAGAATGACAGCCAGGGCTGGGTATTTAGCTCAGTGACACTGCGCTTGCCTCGCAAGTACAGGTTGTGAGTTCGATCCCTAGTGCCAAAAATAAAAATAAAAATAAAAATAACAGACAAATAACAAAATTAATATGGGATATTTAAATATTTAATGACATTAAGGAATTATTAAACTATAAGGATATTATATGTGTGGGATTTTTCCCAATACAGCTATATATACTGAAATATTTATAGATGAATTATGTGGGATGTGCTTCAAATCACAAGAGGGGGACATGGGTGAAGATAAGAATAAGATCAGCCATGACTGACCCAGGTTGACATCAGGTGAAGTCTGTATGTGTACCCATTTTACTATCTCTGATTGTGTATCTCTTTTTATGTCTTAAAATATGCTCATTTATTTATTTGTGTTGGGAATGGAACCCAGGGTCTCATTCATGCTAAGCACACACTTTACATTAAGCTACACACCCAGCCCATTTTTATACATTCAAGTCCCCATAATTATAAGGTTTAAACACACACACACACACACACACACACTTCCACTTTGTTTTAAGGTGTTAGTTTAATTTTGTAGAAGAAATATTTTCAAACAATACACATGACACAATCAGAGAAAACAGTGACAAAAACAGAGATGAGTACTGATTACAACTTATTCCCACGACAGAAGGTTACTTATCTCAGCGATTATCAATCAAAGCCTGACAATGCAGTAATTAGATAAAAGTAAAAACCAAATTCCCTTTTATATGTTGTAAAAACCCTGGTGGCAGAATTCTAATCAGTTCTGGACCAGAACTGCTCATAAAACATGGCAGAGTTTCCTTTCTCACAAGGTCCTGCATTTGCACAAATTGTAACAGCAGATGAAAGTGTCCCCGAAGCAGATGTTTTCGGGGTGTGGCCGTCGTAACTAGCTGGCAGTCACCAGATCATGAATGAGAAGCAGAGGAGGGTGCTTTGTGTCCTCCAGCTCATGGGGCAGCCTCCCACCCATGCAGTGCAGGCGCATGGCACAGAACTGCTCCCTTCCCCTCTCGCACTAGGCTGAAATTGCCTTACTTGCCAGGGTTCCTTCCATTCAGCTGCAAAAGCAGTCAAGGATGCGGTGGCAGGGAGAGGCGACACAGAAAGGTGGCAGACACAGATGTTCCTTGGACTGACACCACAGCAGGGGCTGCAGCTATTTCTCTCAGGGCAAAGGTGAGATTCTTAAAAAAACAAAACTCCTGGGGATGGGAGGGAAGCACTCCACCTAGACATCTGCATAACCTGGGCAGTTACAGTAGAAAACACTTATCTGGAGGCTTCTGGTATTGGCACAATGGGTTTGAAACTTAATAGGGTGGGCAGAAAAGTTGCCTCATCCTACCAACTCACTTAGAGCAAGTTGCCTGGGGCAGCTGTAAAAAGTGGTGCAGGGCCCCTGTGACCAAAGCACTGTCTCGCATCTAGGGAGCCATGCATGTAAGACTGGAAAGCTCTGCCCTGCACACACCACAGCATCCAGCAGCAGACGTCTCTTATTAGACTATAAGCTCTCAACAGTGTAGGGGCACAGAGAAAGGCAGCTCTCCTAAGAACCAATGGTATGGGGCTCTGCTGCTGCCATGGGCTGGTATAAAAAGGAACTGGTCCCGCCTCAAAAAAAAGGCAAAAAAAAAAAAAAAAAAAAAAAAAAAA